TTTTAGTCAGATGGCCTTCATGTGCTTTGCCATATTCAAATAACTTAGCCTAACCCATACTGTCTGCGCATCAGCCAAGATTTGAATTCCGGCTGAATTACTAATGTTCAATACTCTTACTCCTCGGCTGCTTGTGATCTACCGCAACCTTCAAACCTCATTTGATGCTTCACCAAATCACATTTAGAATATTTAAATTTTTTCAAACATTTTATAAGAAATTATGAATTTACACCAAATCTTATGGACAGATAATATACTCATAAGATTACTTGCATTCCAAGAACAGTATTAAGCTATATATATATGATTGCTAACGACTTGAGATTTTAAAAATGTGTATCCTGTGGTACATTAGATCTTTCCGCAGGTAATAATCTTCTTCACAAAACAAAAGGAAAAAGGATCTTCCGCCTGATTCTTAACTCAAGCAATACGGATATGCTTCATTAAAGAAACCTATTACAAAACGTATGTTCATGACGTGATTAAATAATACAACAAAATGACGAAATGTGACATTCGGTATGCGGAAATTTCAAATGCTCGGAAAATATTTTGCAGAATTTTTTTATTCGCACATTCGAAAAACAACGAGGAAACTAGAATTTTGCTGCCATTTCAGTCTCGCATTTCATTTCAGAAAATCTAACCACAGATTGCTAACACTTTAAATTTACAGAAATTATTATTTTAGATAGAATTAAAGTGCCAATCGCGTGCCTCTATCTACAATATATAGCAGGATGAAAAATCACTCACTTAACTACATAGCATTTAATTTATAAGAATGATTTTTTTTTTTTTTTTTTTTTTTTTTTTAAATATTAAGCTTTCGGGAAACTGTGAATTACAAAATTATCTTTACGCACACATTTCATTTAATGCCAGTGAAACAGAAAATGCTTATCAGAACGAGATAATGAGACTTTACTCAGTCACTACTCGTGTTTGATAGTGATAAATCACTATCTAGCCGCAAATAAATTCATTGCCCTCCTTCAAGAACTTATCTGAAAAAAATCGATAATATTAAGGATTCTTTATTTAAAAAATAGCGCTTTTTTCTATAATTTCTTCGCGATTACAGGCAGGGCACGATAATTTTAGTAAGAGACTGCACTAGATATATTATTTGTTTTCACAAAAGCACTAGGACCGTCTGCTTAGGCAGGCATGCCTTTCTGGAAGATCTTCTAAAGGAAACCGTCTCGTATTTATACTGCACGGTGGAAACAGGAAAATAACTCACACGGTCAACTCGTTTGCGACTGCTCAATTAAAATTGCTAAGGACCCAAATGAAGGCTTTAAAAATAGTTTTAAACAGCATCGAACTATGTCATTTAAATACACTCAGAAATCTTTCAGATATAGCCCTTGAGTTCAAAATGTTTGTTATATGGGCCAATTTGCGCTGTTGTTATTATTTCTGTGAGTTTTTTCAGTAACATTTTCCGTGTCTTAAAAACGAAATTGTATTATAAAAACAGTTTATCCGTAATAGCAGTTAACATCAACTAACAGAAATATCCTCCTCCCTCTTCCATGGAAACATCTTAAATCCACAGCAAATGCATGATAAATTCTTATTGATACTGTTACAACAGAAACATGTTAAGGCAGGTGAGCTAGACGAAAAATTTCAAGTACTCATGATTGTTTACTTAATCTATTATGAAGAACGTACGACAGTTATCTGCCTAAATACAAGATGTCTGTATGGAGGAAGCTTGTTCGTATTAAGGTTCGTATTAAAGTTACACAAGGGAGAAGCCACGAAAATCCACATAACGAGCCAGTTTAAAAGAGAACCGAACCCATAACCGTACTATTTTCAACGGTCCTCGGTCACTAGTAATGAGAACTTAGTAATTACTTTTGTTGATATCAAAAATTTAATTTCATCTTAAAACTACAAACAACAGAAAAACAATCTTGAAATAACCGTACTTTTGATTCCAGAATGCATTTCTAAATATTGTAAAAACAAAGAATTATGCAGTTTGTGGCGTCAACATAATCTTTAAGCCAGTGACCTGCCTAAGAAAAACAAGCCTTGCGTTCAAAATTTCTGACTCCGGTAATTTTTAACTATGCAACTTCAATGTACGAATATAGGAGACTATGACATGTGTCGATTACAAACTGGCCACATTAGCAGTTCCCAAACTTTATTGATTTGCATAACCTTTCGGCTATTTCCTTCAATTACACCCTTAGCAGAAAATATTTACTACTGATACAGAACTGATTACAGTTCCTTTAAATTTATAAATTAAACAATTAATAACGTTCAATAATGGGATCCTCAACGTTAAGGAACAGTTCTCCGCTATTTCAAAACATCAAAACACCACAATAAGCAGGTAAACCGGTTTTTCTCTTCAGCAACAAAATCCACTCCGTTGCTCCTCATAGCATTCTCATATAAAAAAAAATTCTTCAATTCCCCCCCCCACACCTAACATGTCACTTTTACGCCTTTTTCAGTGTTATTCATCCTCGTAACCCTAAATACACGGGTTCTTATCCGGGCGACATATCGGTATTCCAGTCTCAGAATCACTGCCAATAAGCCATACAATAACAACACAGCCTAATGTATTTCTTTCTTCTTCCTTTCCTTTCTCCCCCTCCAAAAAAAAAAAAAATCTATAGAAATTACATAGCATATAGTAAGTCTAATGCTTCAGCTACTAAGTCACCTTCCCTCATTAATCTTTTATAAGTGAAATAACAAATACTCAATATAAAATCGCAAGACGGAAAAATTTCATTGATTTACAAATAAAAAAATTTAACAATTAAAAAAAAAAAAAAAAAAACTGAAAGGTTTCAGATTTTAAATTACGTCCAAAGAGGCTTTTTTTAACGTTTTGTGTGTTACCTTTATTTATTAAATATCACGAACTTCGCACTTAAACCATAAAATTCAGTTCAACAGCAATATCGCAAAATAGTTTTAAAATGATCATATCTTTAGAATTTCCGATACACAGTTCCGCGCGCTGAAAATAAAAAGGTTTTTCTTCCCCCTCCCCGTAGAGTGTTGCCATTGCCCGATTTTAAATCGTTGAGTTTATTAATCAAAAATTCGTTAAAGTTTTACAAAATATGAAATCGATAATAAAACAAATTCCAAATTTGGGTGGAAAGTTACATTACTCAAAAATGGATGGCTCTAGGTACCGTTGTTTTACTATGTGAGAAACACACATTTATGCAGATTCTTCCTTATTCAATTTCTTTAATTATAATACAGGCGATAACATTTGGTGGCAACAATTTCAAAAGTGAATCGGAGATTTATAGTGAACCAACGCAAAATGCCAAAACGAAAATAATAGTCCTTCAGGGCAAATTGTCCCTTTGGACTAAAAATTAATCCAGATTTCACAAAATAATGGATAAAAAGGAGGATATTTTTTATTTATTTATATAAAAATATATATTATTATTTAAACGACAGATTTTTCAAATGTACCATTTTTAATATGATTGTTATTTTCTAAAAGAAATCAATAAATCGCATCAAACAAAATTAATCGCAGTTCCAACTTCAGAAACCTGTTTTCGCGAAGTAAACTATGCTTACAACCAAGGGCAACAGAATGGAAAAATCAGGAAGGGAATCCAACCTCATCGGAAGAAAAAGACGGCGGAAACAAAAACACCCTATTCCTTGACACTGTATGTTTTGAAAATTTTATACATATAGCCCGCGTTATTTTTATATTATAAACCATAAAAAAAAAAGAGGCTACGTAACAGTTTATTTTACTCTAAACTTCATTGATAAAAACTCAATTAAGTTTAAGCGATCTAAGAAAATGAATACGTAGAATAATAAAAAAGATGCTAGACTAACCCTTTTTAGCCAAGACACATTATAAAGTTGATCTTAGTTTCTTAATTATATAACTTTCTTATATCATATCATTATCAAATTGGGCACGTATCATTTTAAAATTATAATGAAAAATCTAAATTGCTTGATTTGTCTCAATTTACAACCGATTTCTTTCGTCCGACTATTTAGTAATATCGTCGACTACTTCATCAGACTATTTAAAATATTTTGCCCACATTCACATTGTGAATTGGAATGGCAAATACGTATTCGTATTCCTGGTATACAGTACGGCCTTTAACACCAAAATGAGCCGTTTACAGCTAACCATCATATCACCAAACCCTGTGTGTACCGTATACTAGGATTAAGCTCGTATAGCTTTAATAGACATGATTACTAGACATTTATTAGACATTAGTAAGGGACTAAGCAGTAAAATACGGGACATAGGCACCAGTGGCGTAAAGAAGGGGGAAAGGGGTGTATGATGCTTCGAGCGCCGCTCGGAGAAGGACGCCAAATGGTCTCCAAACAAGATTTTCACCATATCACTGTTTTTTTCGAAGAGGGGGGGGGGGCGCCAGTTATGCTCGCTACTCCACTGATAGGATACATGAAGATATTTCACAGATGCTGGATGCAATTTTTAAGAGGCTTTATTTTACGATTAAAGTAGCAAAATCTTCATTCCTGATACGTGTATCATATTAGAAAAGATTAAAATATTCCTGAAAAAATATCAGAAATATATATTCATAAAGGAAGAAACAAAACTATCAAAACATAAACATATTATCTTCAAAAACAACCGATATTTTTGAGGAAATGTATATATTTTACAAATAAAGAAAGGAAATTTTATATAAGAAACATCTAACCTTTAAATGAATATCTAATTTATGGAAATTCAATACAGTTACAAAATATTCATTCGATATAAGTAAAAACACTTATTAATAAGAGCAGGTTCATTGTACTTAACTGTTATGTCAATTATTGTTGAATAATAATATTCGTCCAAAATCGTTGACCATTATATGTAAAATTATACTTTAGAACAAGTAAACTAAAATATTAATGTAATACATTTACCAAATATGAATTTAACAAATATACATGAAGAACAAGTAGCATATTTGCATTACTTTTATTAATAGTGGGAATTGCTATCTTATAAAAAATCAGATCTTGAAGTTTGGAAACTCCATTCAGCTAATTATTTATGGTGTTCGGTAACTTGAGTTCAGTGTACCGATCAAAGCCTGAAAAACAATCAAATCAATAACATGCATAAATATTCTTGAACAACATCATTATATATGCACATCATACCACGATTTTCAGTTTTATAAAGATAAAATCACCGTTAAAGCATTCTAATCTGACGATTACATTTTCGCCAACCTAGCACGCAAATTTCGATTCAGTATCCGTAAAAAGTAAACAAAGTAGTCATCCCTCTTTTCTTGACATATCAGCTGCATGCGATTACTGACGTTTGACATTTCATCCTTATGAGTCAATAATACACATGAACGCGTTTTCAGCGCGAACGTATCTATTGAAGTTCTAGGAGAACATTATCGAGAATGCAATTAAAATCTACTTACTTTAAACGAAAAATAAAGTTGTTACGTGCACACATACATCCCTTGTGGTAATTTATGACAACCTGATCCTGTCGCAGAAGGTTAAAACTGTAATCACGTTAGCAGTTTCTATGAAATTTTTTCTCTCGCGATCGTCAACAAGCTACGAATACAAGTTTACTAAAGGAAACACACTACTCGTCCGGTCGAAGATTGAGCGACCAATGATTCCCTCTACGCGTCAACTTTCTACTGCGAACCGTTCGCGTCGCATGACGTCACAACTCAGAAAATAATTCTTTCATGCTATTGGTTGTTATAACACACTCACGACGTCTCCGCTCTGATAGATGCTACTGTTGCCACCCGTATGTCTGAATTTCAAGAAATGTTTCGAATTTTTATTCAATTAAAAGGTCCGCCTTTTGTATATTTTTCGACTAAAGGAGTTGAGAAGTAAATAATAAATAAAAATTCGCAATCTAAAAACTTCAGATTCAATCCAACAACTACAAGAAGAGTTTATCATTTACAAATAAATAAATAAATTGTAATCGGATCTTCGTATTTAAATCTAGTATATAACTTAAAGCAATCTGATGTTAAACTACTATAGTATATAACTTAAAGCAATCTGATGTTAAACTACTATAGTATATAACTTAAAGCAATCTGATGTTAAACTACTATAGTATATAACTTAAAGCAATCTGATATTAAACTACTACAGTATATAACTTAAAGCAATCTGATGTTAAACTACTATAGTATATAACTTAAAGCAATCTGATGTTAAACTACTATAGTGCACTGATAAATTTCAGAATAAATTCTCAGAAAGTCAAAATACAAAACGTAAAATCATACATTTAAAGTCAGCTGTTTATGATAGCAATGCCAGATAGAAGAGGGAAAAATATTTCAGAGATATTTATGAATTAATGCCACGTGGAAAATTTTGCTCTGACTTTAACTATTCAAAACGTGATCGTGCCTTTCTTTCACTGGACTGCTTGCGCACAAAGCTCCTAACAAATATTTATTAACAAAGCCAAACGACAGCAATTTCTGTTTTGTTAAGTCATGAAATTCATGTAGGGAAGATAATATCTTCCTCCAGATATTAATAACAATGATGATTAAAAATCTTAATGCTTAAATGTTATTAAACTCACCTACTTTTTCCAAACAGAAAACAATGAAACAAAATTATTAATATTTCAAGCAAATACATATTACACATAAAAAATGGATTTTTAGCCTGTAAAATGATTTCATAAAAGAACATTTCGAATAAATTTAAACAGAATAGAAACTTGGACAGTTGATTATCACAGAGCTCTAACATTTGGTGGTAACAATTTGAACAACAGTTTAATACATACGTTAATAATTATCCACAATAATTGTACAAGTTAATAAAATGCTTCGAAAATACATCTGAAAAATACACTTAATGTACTTTTTATTCTTATTTAATTTATTAGCTACTAATTATAATGGTTTTCCGATTTTAAAATGGCTTTTTGAACTACTACATACAACTCTTTCAAATTTTGGAATTATAATAAATACGAATTCTCGTTCTCTTAGTTCGGATCTCTTATTTCTCTAATATCTGATCTGATTATTTCTGACCTAAAATAAGTACTTAATCATTAATTTAAAATTATTCTGCTAATTAAAAAACTAAAATTTAATATATTAAAAAACTAATTATTTTGTCACTAATGATCATGCAACTTTTAATGACAATAGAAGTTATCTATCAAATAATAATAATAACTTTAGGAATAAATGGGGGATTAAAAACATTAAAAGTTATAAAACAAAATATTTGTTAAAAGAATTAGAAGTGAAGAGATGACATTCTGAAAAAAGACTGTTTAAACTACATTTTTATTTTTCAGGCAACAGGCAAAGCATGTGACGGTTGTAAAGGAATATCTCAGCGTAGAAAGTGTGGGAATCGTAATGCAGGATCTTAAGGAATCTTTTTAAGATCGATAATTTATTTCTAATAAAATTTTTAAAATAATAATTAAAAAAAATTTTTAAAAAGCTATATTTACATTTTTTACAATTTTAAAATTGACCAAAATTAAAATCTGAAAGCTTTCAAATTTTATGTTACGCCTGAAGAGGCTTTTTTTAACGTTTTGTGTGTTACCTTTATTTATTAATATCTTGTTTTTCGCACTTAAACCATAAAATTCAGTTCAACCGCAATATCGCAATATAATTTTAAAATGACCATAACTTTAGAATTTCTGATACACAGTCTTGCAAGCTGGAGATAAGTCCACCCCCCCCCCTGTACAGTGTTGCTGTTGCTCGTTTTGAAATCGTTGACTTTGTTAATCAAAAAATTCGTTAACGTGTTACACAATATAAAATCGATAATAAAACAAATTCCAAATTCGGGCTTCCAGATGCCCATCTTCAGTGGAAGATTACGTTATTCAAAATTAGATGGCTCCAGGTACCGTTGTTTTTATCACAAGGCGCGAAACATACATACATTTATGCAGATTCTTCATTATTTAATTTCTTTCAATATAGCACAGGGGTCTAATACTTGATGGCAACAATTTGAAAAGTGAACCGACACTTATAGTGAAACAACGCAAAATGCCAAAACGAAATTAATAGCCCTTCTGGGCTAATAAAAAAAAAAATATGAAAGCTTTTCAGATTTTACATTACGCCCAAAGGAGCGGTTTTTTTTTTTTTTTTTTTTTTTTTAACATTGTGTGTGTTACCTTTTATCGTGTTCTTCGCACTTGAACCATAAAATTCAATTCAACAGCAAAATCCCAAAATAATTTTAAAATTAGCATATCTTTAGAATTTCCCATACACAGTCTCGCGCTCTGGAGGAAATCCCCCCCCCGTAGAGTGTTGGCCTTCCTCACCTTGAAATCGTTGAGTTTGTTAATGAAAAATTCTTTGATGTCTGACAAAATATGAAATTGATAATAAAACAAATTCTAAATTCCAAATTAGGATTTCTAGACGCCCATATTCGGTGAAAAATACATTATTCAAAATTTGATGTCTCTAGCTACCAGTGGCGTAAATAGGGTGGTGCAAGGGGGACATCTGTTACCGGGCGCAGTATCCAAGGGGCGCTAAATTGATGCTACGAAATTTTTTAATCAAAGGTTTTTTTCATTCTTGGCACACAGAAAGGGGCGCAAATTCTTCAGTTGTCCCCGGACGCTGGAAACTCTAGCTACGCCCCCTGCTAGGTACCGTTGTTTTATCACAAGCGAGAAACATACATGCATTTATGCAGATTCTTCATTATTTAATTTCTTTAAATATAATACAGGGCTATAATATTTGGTGGCATCAGTTTGAAAAGTAAATCGACGCAGAAAGTGAATCAACGCAAAATGCGAAAACGAAATTAATAGCCCTTCTGAGCTAACGCTCCTTTGGACTAAAAATCTTATCCGCAAAGAAACGAGGGATTTTTGCATCCATGATTTTCGATTCCTTTCAAATAAACTGTTTACAAAATTTAACTAACAATCTGAAAATTATTTTCTAAATGTTTCATGATGCATTAAAATGTGTTAAGTATTTATAAAGTAAAATTAAGCATTAATAAACAAACTGTGGATTTTCAAAATTCAAAGTTGGAAAAAATATTCGAAGTAATAAAAGTTTGATTCATGAAGAGAAATAGAAAATGCGTTTTGATACAATATTATTCGAAATGAATGTTTAGAATTATTACGCGGTATTTTAAATGTTTTTTAATCCTTGTAACAGTATTAAAATAATAATAATAATAATATAAAAATTGTAGAATTTCATTTTATCAGTTTGAAAGAATCAATTTCAATAACTGAAGCCTTTTTCGTTACCTCATGCGTTGCTTTCACATACCTAAATGCATACTAAATAGTATATATTATAATTATCGTATCGTTATTTCGTTTTCTCAGACCATAAAAATAAAATATAAAATAAATAAAAAGGGAAAGAAAAAGAATATATAAGACAGCGATTATATGAAATATATTTTTAAGTTATCCCTAAATACTTAAGTATAATTTTGTTCTATCTTAATATTTCTAGCCGCAAGCTTCCGGAATTCTTCAGGAAAAGTTCGACTTTCATTAAATGTTTTATGAAACAATACCGTTTAATACACATCAATCAGTTTCGCTTCCTTTAATTTTTAAACTGTGATATCATTTGTGTTTTTGAGTTACTCTATTAAAGCATAATTCTTGAGTTACTCTATTAAGCTGAGTAACTCAAGAATAGTTTGTTTCTCGGGTATCTCTATTAAAGCATAATTGGGATCTCGATGTCATTGCCCCCCCCCAAAAAAAAACTATAAAAAAATCTGAAAGCTTTTAGATTATATATTACTTCCAAAGGGGCTTTTTTTTTAACATTATGTGTGTCACCTTTATTTATTAAATATCATGTTCATCGCATTTAAACCATAAAATTCAATTCAACAGCAATGTCACAAAATATTTAAAACAGCGTATCTTTAAAATTTCCGCTACACAGTCTCTTGCGCTGGAGATAAAAAAGCCCCTTCCTCTCCCGTACAGTGTTGCCATTGCTCGCTTTGAAATCTTTGAGTTTCCTAATCAAAAACTCATCGGCTAAAATTGTCCAAAAGACATTTTTTAATGAATTAAGTTTCCTTGATTTCTGTTAGGTAGTTCTCTAAGAAGATATTATTTTACACAAGAGAGACAGACGTCTTATGCTTTCCCATAATTAAACATTCTGTGAAATGCTTTACTAAATATGAAATCTCTACATATAATAAAAGGAAGAGTATGTCTCTGTGTGTGTGTATTGTGATACTTCTTTGGCAATATGAAGCAACTCCAATGATGGAACACAGAAAAAACTTTATTTAGCACTCAAATGGCGACATACAAAACAAAAAGAAAAAAGAATACTCTATAAACTTATTTAAAAAAAAAAATAATTACATGCTTCGTGCGAGAAAATGCATGCAGCTCTCGAGCCTGCATTTCAATATTGCCAGTAATCTGTACATTATTTATTATTCATCTATTTCAAATGCACGAGGGATTAATAACGATATTAAAGCTGTTACAACCTCTCCCCCAACGGAGAGACTTTTTCCGAAGGGAAAAGTTCTGTAAAATTTGACAGTTTAATAAGCTCGGCTTGCTCATTTGCTTAAAGAGAAAAAAAGGTAACTTCTCTCATAAGT